TTCCAGTCCGAGTACATGGTGAAGAGAAGGCGGCAACTAGATGTGTATAAGAGACAGGAGAGAGAGAGAGAGAGAGAGACTGATATGGAGCGATCGATGTCAAGGACGAAGACAGGAAATGTCTTGTGTGCGCTTGGCATCTATTTATCCTGCGCTGCCGAAATACGTTATGGTGTACGATATGTCGGAATGAGCATCTGGAGATCTGAGAGAAAAAAAAAGAACTCGCGGAGGTCATGGGAGATAACCAGGTGACCTTAGAGGAGGATGAACATATCTGTGAGATCTAGCTATATCTGTCTCGAATTATCGCTGGGACACCTTGGTTCGTCATTTGATATCAGTCTATGGTTTAATGGACGCGTTAGATACGGGTTTGTTTTCAGTCATTGAGTGCATTGGCAGTTGTAACGATGGGGATTGAACGAAACACTGGCAACGGTGAGGTTATGCTGAAGCCGAACAATGTCGCTACCAGCCGAGAGGTTGGCTTACCATGAGATTGTTTACAGTCATTGAGCGAATTGCTTAAGTCGAGCATACATTTTCTGTTGGTGATACCCTTAGTGACCTTGACTTATAGGTCGATTGATTTCTCTTGATATCTCTTGATTTCTCTCTTTTTTTATCTTTTGTTCGATTGACAAGTGGATAGTTCGGCCTTGCGTAGAGGTCGTGCCTCCTTTTTTATTTTTTATTTTTTTTAAGGGTGACAGTTTTGATATTCATGCACAGGTGACCGACCCCGGGGTAATGCAAAGTCATTGTCGCAAGCTGTGCATGGAAAATTCTCTTTGCACTAGGCACGTGTTTTGCCAGAGTCGGAGAGTTGGTTCACGTAGATGTTGTATCTTGGTTAAATGTATCAGTTGCTAACGACCCCCGCTACGCGACCCCCTAAATGTATCAGTTGCTAGCGACCCCCTAAATGTATCAGTTGCTAGCGACCCCCGCTACGCGACCCCCTAAATGTATCAGTTGCTAGCGACCCCCGCTACGCGACCCTCTAAATTTAAAGGAAAACAAGAAGCGGGAGGAAAAAAACCTAGAAATGTTTCTCTGGGCTGCATATCGGTTTTGGGTTGGAGCCTTCCCCCGCTACGCGACCCCCTTGCCTCCGGAGACGAGTGCTGGTGCGCAATCTGCCGAGTCGCGTCAGAAATCTCGCGCGTGATGAACTATGATTAGCTCCGTGCAGTAGCTAAGCTCCGTGCAGCAGCTAAAACGACGACTCTTTTGTAAAGCATGGATGCTTAACCACTGGTCTCGCTGTCTCTCTGTTCTCTCATAATACCTTCGGCCCTCGTCATTTTGATAATCTCATTACTACCTTTCGCTGTTTGTTGATGTATCTCACCGTTTGATATGATTGTCATTCTCGAAAAAAGGGACTTCCTTTGCACCGCAATGTCTTGGGAGCAGGAATCAGTCAATGCCCGATAGAAGCCATCATCATGAAGTGAGCGCCGCTACCGTATTACCTCCTAATACGACGCACCCTCATTATGGTAGTATTGGGCATTGGACAGAGTACAGTGACCGACAGTCATTAGAAGGGTGCATTACGGCGGTATTGGGTATTAAAAGGGTGCATTAAGTTTACAGTGACCGACAGTCATTAGAAGGGTGCATTATGGCAGTATTGGGTATGAGAAGGGTGCATTGAGTTTATACAGTGACCGACAGTAATTAGAAGGGTGCAATATGGCAGTATATTGGGTATTAGAAGGGTGCATTGAGTTTACAGTGACCGACAGTCATTAGGAGGGTGCATTACGTTCCGGCGAAGACGATAGCCATTCCGTAGGGCTTGAAAGGAACACGTCGCAATTTTGAGGGCAGGCGAATACGAGGACGTTCGTGGCTACATCTTGAGGGCAATTACAGCCAACTCTGAATGTATTTGACCGCAATTAGCGTAAAAAATAAGTAGAAAAAGGCGAAATGCGAGTATCTCCT